AAGATGCAGTGCAGTCTCCTCCTTGGAAGCTTTAAAAGACTGGATAAAGCCGTGAGCAACCTGATCTAATCTCAAAACTGACTCTGCTTTGAGTAGGAGATTGGACTAGAGACCTCCTGAGGTCCCTTGTAACCTGAAGTATCCCATGATCTTATATTATGAAGAAAATTTGTTTCTGACCTCATTCCAATGCTTCATGTATCATTAAAAAGAAAATTCACTTGCCTAATAACCTCACAGGTTCTCTCCACATAGGGGATTTCTCTTTCATAAGTAATACCAGGAATGTAATTGCAAAATTAAGGTTTATAAAGGAGGGGGATGTAGGACTGATATCTGTGGATGATATGAATATGCCGCACAGTGGAATTCAGTGTAGAATTCCCTGAGTTAGCACCAAGGAATACCTCTCCAAAATCAAGCCACTAAAGTTAAATTAACATGGTGAACCTGGAGTTAATTAACAGACAGAGAAATGGGATATATAAATTCAGAAACAGGGTAATGTAAACACAGCTGCTTCTTTTGAGTTTTGAGGAAAGCTCCGTGCAGCCATCCCTGCACACTGATCAGCGACAGCAGCTTCCACAGAGGTGTTTGTGTGCTTGTGGAGGATCTCTGGATGAAACACTACTAATTCTGTACAGAAATAAATGCATGCCTACAAAGTTTATTATGGGAAACTTCTTCAAGTCTTCTGTGACCCTCCTCAGAACAAGTAATACTACCAGACTTTTTTTACAGTCTTTTATAACAGTTGTGAAGTAAACCCTTAGAAAATGGATATTCTTAGTAAAGAATATTCCTATCATTATGCTGAAGGAATCAAATAGCCTTTCTCACTTAATGCCCAAAGTTGGACAGAGCTTTGGGTGACATGGTCTAGTGTGAGAAGTCCCTGCCCATGGCAGAGGGGTTGGAATGTTAAGGCCCTTTCCAACCCAAACCATTCTATGATTCTATGATCTAAAACATTTGGAACTGGGAAGTTATCATAGAGACATTGTGCTGCATATGGAAGTAATTGTTTTGTAACTTGGCTGTAAACATGCCCCAATGCACAGGAAGAAACTTTAGACAAAATTACCAACCCTTACAGCAGAAAAAGAATCAGTAGCTTTCATGACATACATACCCAAGAGCACAAAAGGTCTTAAAAGTAATATAGAGCAGAGGAAACAAGACTATTAAATATAAGACATTATTGTTTTTCGACTACAGGCTGGTATCTCTTGTCTACAACAAAACAGTTGCTCTTCTCCAGAAGTAACAATTGAAAAAAATGTTAAATTCACCCTCTGCTTCTCAGCAAAACTCAGGGGAATGTGAACTGTAAGAACAAATTTCTTCTAAATGAGTGTTCTTGCCAGTATTGCTAAAAGTGACATTATATAAAGAAAAAAATTAGCTGTTTGAAACTGAAGAAAGCTGCTGTTTAAATAATGGTTTATACAGTTTCTTGTAATTGTTACTGTTGTTTCAAATCCCTGCATTATTAATAAGTGCCTGAGTATGAATTTTATTTATCAATTATTACAGTGAAAAAGTGAACTCAAAGAGATGACAAATTTAAGTTTTCTCCATTAAGTTCTGCGTTAACTGCAAATTAAGGATAAATTGGTATCAGTTTTAATTTCAGGAAGCTGTACTGCTCGTTTACTCCTTTTACTTCTAAAACTAAATCAATGTCAAGTATCATGCTAGGAGGCACTGTATTGCTAGAAATGCTTGAATGGATTTTTAATTCTGAAGCTCCGATATAAATATGATTTAGCATCAACAGAAACACTCCACAGTTATGTCAATGTGAATGCAATCAGATTCTGACCTATTCTTTATAAAGATGTAAAGCCTATATTTTAATTTCTTTTGTCAATAGAAAAGCCATTGCCCAGACCACATTTTAATTAACCCCCTTGAATTCTGTTTGCAGATTCAATTAAGAAGAGATATTGTTCTTCACTTCTTGTTCTAACCTGTTCTTCAAAGTTTCAATGCAGCTTACTGAATATATTATCACTTACGGGTTCTGAGAAACTGTTCTAGCTGATGTTTGGACAACATTTTGTCATCAGGAACAAAATACATTATTAGATGAAAAAGTTTCCACTAAAACTCAGAGTAAATAAGCACAGAACCTGGGAAAGACTTCTGTGATCATTTACATTCTTCTCTTTCCCAGACCCACATTTAGCTTGCCATATGAGCAGTAATAGCCCTATAACTACAATATGTCACATTTCTAATTGTCTCTAGAGTTGCTATAACAGAAAACGCCAGAACAAACAAAACCAGAAATTTAAAAGTATCGATTTACTCATCTATATAATGGGCCAAATATTCTGTGATGATTAGATCTATTCCTAAATATTTTGTAAACAATCTTTATTCTATTTATTTTATCAAATCATAGAAACACCAGTTAGAAGGGAGTTCTGGAGATGTCTTGTTCAACCTCTCCTTCAAAGCACGCCTGTCACCTAACTAGGTCAGGCCAGCTCTGCCTTTGTCTGGCTGAGTCACAAAAAGCACCAAGGGTGGAGATTTCCACCACCTCCATGGGTAACCAGTTCCAGTGCTGCACCACACTCCTTGTGGAAAAGTCTTTCCTCCTCAGCAATTTGAACTGCAATCTGTGGCTATTGTCCCTTAATATTTCATCTGCCATTAGTGAGCAAAATTTCGGCTATGCTGTCTTTGAGAGGAACCATAGGATAATTAGGGTTGGAAAGGACCTTAAGATCATTCAGTTCCAACCCTCCTGCCATGGGCAGGGACACCTTGCACTAAACCGAGTCACCCAAGACTCCATCCAACCTGGCCTTGAACACTGACAGAGATGGAGCATTCACAACCTCCTTGGGGAACTCATTCCAGTGCTTCAAGTGATTGCAAGCCTCTATTATATTTCCCTGGACTTCCTCTTCACTAGACAGAGTGAACTCAGATCCCTCAGCCTCTCCTCATACAGTGTACTTTAGTCTAGCTTGTCTTGATAGCCCTCCACTGGATGCTCTAAAGTATTTCAATATCCCTCTTGAGTTGGGAATCTCAGAATACAGTATTCAGTGTGGCCTCACAAGTGGTGAGTATAGGGTGTAAGAACTTCCCTCAGTCTGCTGGCCTTGCAACACCTGATGCAGTATTGCCGTCAAATTTGCCAATAGTACTCTATTTTATCAAGTGCTATATGTATATATATATATACACACATTTATGTAGCACAGTGTAGTATGATATAAAGAAACGGCTTTTGCCTTTTTTCACGCATGGATTCTCTGCCTTTTCTGGAAGCCCTGAAGTCTTTCTCTGGGACTTCTTTTAACAAGCCCTTGATAGCACCAATACTCTGCTTTAACACATTTCTGTTGCATCCCCTACTTTTCATGCTCACTGTTTTTAAAACTTCATCAGCATTTGCTTTCCCTGCTGTTCTGATGCAGAAGCAGATGTCTTTATCTTAATAGTGATTTTGACACTTCTCTTGGCTAAGTAACTTCTGGCAAATTAGATTGTGTAAGCAGCTTACTACTTGACAGTGAAAGAATTCTCAGAAGCATCAATCTGCCAAACTTTGGATTATCCCCAGCAACAATACCAATATTTGTCCTTTAATAATTAACCCAGTGTTACAAAAACTGATATAAATACAGTCATGTCATTGCATCTGCAGGTAAGTAGAACTTTCCTCATTCTTAGCATGAGAAGTTGCCTTTACAAATACTGACAACAATGACAATGGTGCTTGCCCTGCCCTCTTCCTCACAATAATAACATATTTCTGAAAGCAACAGTTTGTAAAATCTACTGTGAACTGCACAGTAATTCCGGAAGGTAAATCTGCACATGTTATACCACAAACCTCAAGCCCCTATCACAGGGATGCCACCATTTCACAGTATCAAATTACTTACATACTTTCTTTGCTGGATACCTCCACAAAGTACCATTAAATATGGCAATTCACACAATGAAAAATTATACTTATTGCCAACCACTAGTCTCTTACACCAATCCATTAATATTTCAGCTAGCTAGTGTAATGTAGGTGATATTAACAAAGCAAAATATGGGCAGATTTGCTCAATGAATATGATGCAGATAGGATTTAGATTACAATGCTTCTACAAAGCATGGGACATTTGAATTTCAGTTCATGTTCAGTAACACTGCCAATTGTCCCAGAACAGGAAAGGAAGAGGGTTAAAAAAAAGAAAATTGCATAATGCATTTACAGAGCGACCAATGTCTTTTGTTGATAGTCTGGTCCTATAGCTTAGGCATTTGTTTTCCTGGATTGCACTAGGATTGCTTGAGGGTATAGGACAGCAGAGAACTTGGCTGACTGTATGGGGGCCCACATGTCTATGAATTTGTAATGTTGAACTGGAGATTTTATAAATATGTAAGTTCTTAAAAGGGATAGAAATATTTGTTTGTAGTGTGTATTTTATGATAAGTGCTTTCTTTGAAAACTGAACTGCTTTATTTTAGCATCTAGACATAGAAAAGCAAGCAAAAAATGAGCAGAGAGTATGCTGTTAAATGTCTTGTACTAACTAGAGACTACTTTTTGCCACCAACTTCAAGAGTCTAAACAGCAAGCTTATTTTGATATGGTTTCCAGTCCATTGTAGTAGCTACTTGTCTCCTTCTACCAGCAGGACTGGCCAAACAAATTGCAGTAAGGATAACTGACTAACATTTCTGTAGTCATTTCCAAGTAAGGAAGAGGGGCCCTCCATCCCAGAAAGCACATATATAAACATTTGCCTTTATGAGTTTTTGATGTGACTCTGAGGAGGTCTTAGCCTTGGGGTAGTACTAACTAATCTTATCTGTAGAATGAGCATAACGCAAAACACTAAAGTAATTCTAATATTTGTTTTCTTTGAGCACAGACAACCTCTTAAAGTAGAGCAAATGCAGATCTTCCGGATAATGCAGACAAATAACATGTTTTAAAACAAATCTTCCCCCTGTTTTCTATTTCCTTTCAGAATAAGCCTCTCCTTCCAGATGCTCTGGAGTCCAGCAATTTGCACTGCCTTCCTGGGTTGCAGCAACCTTCACATAGTCTCCCTCTGGGTCTCTAGGAATGTATCCTCTTCTTGACCTCTGAGGCTTGGCTGTAGATCTGCTCCTTTGCAGCAAGCAAGCCATGTGCTTTGTCAGGAGTCTTTCAGTCTGCATTTAGACTTGTAATCTCCTCCTTTTCCTCCCCTCTCTCCACCTGACACAGACTGTTGCAGCCAGGAAAATCAGAGGCAGCCTATTCTGTCAGACCCTTTCAAACCAAATGAGAAGAAAAAAAACCCCAACCACAATAAAATAGAGACCAAACCATGAACAAAAACTCAGTTTTTTCAGCTGGCATGAGGGCAAAAAGCAGCAGGAATTGGAGGCACTCTGTAGTGCCTCCATCTAAACTGCAAAGGCTTTCCCAGTTTTCAGGCTCATATGTGCACCCTGTTCATTTTCCTATGTCAGGTAAGACCTAGATGCATCAACTCTCCTGAGGCTCCGGTTTCTGGGAAGAGAAGATGCAGTTGTATGAGCCAGAATGGTTCAGGCTTACTGCTTCTCTTTCAGAGGCTGAATTACACCCGCACAGTCCAGAATGCAGATGATATGAATTTACTTGTATTATGCAATAGAGGAAAGAGCAGATGGATAGATCTTACCAAATAATTAAAATGTGTCTACCTCTTTGTCTGACCTTGCTAGTCGCTTCTCAAAGATGTTGTCAAATAATTATCTGTCCAGAGTCTAACACTGATACCTGCTGGCATGGCCTCTGACTGCCTCCTAAAATAATAAAATACAAGATTGATTCCTATCTGTGCAGACAAAAACCAAAGATTAACATTAGAAAGCTTCCACTTCAGCAAAACTCAGGGAAAGAGTTCATTATTACTGAATGTAGGCTTCTGCAGGCACAAGACATTACTATGAGTTGAAGTCCTCACCTGAACAGGGAATAGTTTCTGGGATGTGCCACTGTTGGATGCTAGGGAAGAAAATAAACAAGAAATAGGCAGTGAACCCTTTTGGTAACACAATGGCTTTCCCATAACTGTACCTGACCTTTTCTGTAAGCTTTTCTCTTCAACAGCATTAATTGACAGTCAGATTTCATAAACTCCATCAGTTAGAATAAACTACACAAAACTGAGGAATTCCAAGCCCTGGTTTCTGCCATTTAGTGGCTTCAATTTTGCTTAAACATGAAAGACATTACCACTGCAGACATACACTATGTGTGTATGTCTGTAAGCTCAACAGACAAATTAGATTCATCTAGTATTCATGGCATTCTCTCATAGAAAATCTCTTTCCTTGCTGTTTCCTTTAGATATATTGCAAATTCTTTCTGAAGCTACCTTGTAAATCCATTCCACTCCATTGTTTTTTACCCGTGGTAGCAAATATCTTGGCAGGCACCAAGTAGTTTATGCCCAAAACGTCAAGGATCAATGTATTTTTCTATAGAGACTTTGCATATGCCATTTTTCACTAAACCCCAGTATGGTACTTACATTATGAAACCACTGATAGCGTTTAGGATATATGTCAGGTTGTACCAGCCTTTAATGAAACAGATTCCCAACTCTAACTTTTGCATTATAACAGCTATTCATAAGCTGCATAGAAAAGTAGTAATAACAATATAGATGTTTTTAAGACCTGTAGACATCTTCATTTCACTTCCCAGTATTCTCATTTCACAAGGAGAATCCAAGATAGATGTTTCAGAGACCAGACTCGAGAACACAGACTGCGTCCCACCTTTTATACCCACGTGTTTGTATTCAGAAAAGGGACACAGCGTTTCTTTAAATAAACTAAGAAAGAAGTCTGTGGTAGAACACAAAAATTATATGTGCAAACCCCCCATTATTAAACATATTATTATTAAAATATTATAATGAATAAAATAATAAATCAAAATTAAATGAGAATAAATAAAATTTAATGTATTATTAGTTATTGCAAAATATATTGCATTATTATATATTATTATTAAAGGTATCTTTATAGAACAAAAAATATATGTTACAAATTCTAATTTTAAAATTGCATCCATGATTACAGGTATGTAGATAAGCAGACTAGGAAGCCTTGTTGTTTATAAATAGCCTTCCATCTCAGCATGTTTAGAGATCCTCTTTTCTGCATAGCAGAAGAGGCAATTTGGCTAACAAATTGGAAGACCATGATCTTAAAAAACTGAATCTTGCTCCCAAATCTGGAAGCTTTCACAGATTTAAAACTGGAGGGGAAGAGACACTGTGACAATAATTTCTGGGAAATATTGTTTACTTTTGTTAATTTTATAATGAGTACTCTCACCAATTAAAAAAATAAAACTATATGTATTAATCAAATATATTTTCTTAGACAGGGCAATGTGGAGCGTTAGATTTGGACCTTATAAATTACCTGACAAGCTGTACTAGTAGTGTAAATGGATGATATAAGCACAGTAGTAATTACACTAAAAAGACAGAGGAACTGCTCTACATATACAACACTGGGAAGAAAAGAGGAGTAATATACTTTCATAAGTCTACCTGCTTTAATTTATCCATCAGACTAGCAGACTCTGAAGGGACATTTTAGGATATCACAAGTCCTTTTGGCAGTAACATCAGGAAAATCTCTAGAAGAAGCTTAATTTTCTAGAATGACAGAAGACTCTCTTGAGCAATCCATAGTATTTGGTACAAATCATCAAGGCTTTAACTTTCCCTCAGACACTAAGATTGAGAAAGGATGTGGATTAGGAATTTTTACTGGGGAACATGCCAAGAAAATACTAGAAACTTACTGTAGTCACCTTATACCTGAGGTCTTAGAAAATAAACGCATACATAAATACATAAAGATACAAAGAAGTAATTTTTTGGTCTGTAGAGATTTTTCATGTTGTGTTACTAAACTCTGACCCTACTCAATTCAGCTGGGTGTTTTCAGTATCTGTTGTTTGTACCCTGTATTTTTAACTCTGATGTAATATTTAAGGCCATGAAAAGGCTATTAGGGCAACAATGAACCTTCTTTTTCTTTTCCAGCATTCTTCTGCTGACCTCTCTTGAGTAATGCTCATGTGTATTTATTACTTAAGGGTCAGCATTACCAAAGCACAAGAAAAAGGGAAGAAATCTAGACAGCTTAGAAAATCTTGTACCTCTGTAGCTACCACATGGGCTCTTTCACTTCGGGATTTTATTTTCATATGTATAAAGGTGAAAGATCTTTTGGAAAAAAATAAATTATTTAGGTTAAAAATATCAGTTCCCAGAGAACCTCTCATATGTCCATAATATTTCTCTGGAAAATGTAAGAGTGACAAAATAAACTCATTCAAAGGAATGACACAGCAGTTAGAAGATTTAGCAATTCCAGAACTTTAAAAGATTTACCTGGCTGAAACTCTCAATTATATTTGTTCTTCAAAATTTTAATCTCTCTTTCACCTTATCACATGAAAGTGTATTTAATTTCATAAATGTTTTTCATTTTACTCATGTACTTAATAACACAGAAATGAGACATTTCTTTCAATTTTTTACCACATGGAAAATTCATGAAAATGTGAAAGCAGTGCAGTGGATGGAAAATTATTTCCAGTGGATGGAAAATTATTGCTTTCTCTCATAAATATGTCCAAGAGTCAGAATGTTTATTAAAATAATCCCAGAATACAGCAATATTTTCAAAGTTGGACAGGTACTAAGTATTTTGTTTTGGTGAGTTGGCTCACCTTCCACTTGAATGAAATATACCCCATCTCAAGTTAGTTTTAACTGTTTCTGTCCAGCTTTTCGGTGGGCTACTTCAAAACAATTTAACCATACTTTTCAGATGACCAAATCTGCTTACTAATACTAACTTTTCAAGCAAGACTATCAATACTCTCAACCTCTACAGAGAGAAATGTAATTACTTATACACTTTTTAGCTAGGGTTTTTTTCAAAGAATCACTAAATGAGCCTACATCAACATTTCAGTGCAGGTGTCACCTTTTGAAGCAAATTGCCTCATCAGTCCCATTTCGTAATGCTTTCATACATATTATGGACTGGTCTTGGATCCTGAGAAAAACTGGATTTGGGAATGAAAGTGAGTAGAGGGTGAGCTTTGACGATCATTCAGTCCACAGCATGACTAGGCCAGCATTAAAGCCTCCTGAAATGTGTGGAAGACAGATCTTTAGTAAAGACTGTTTATTTTATTAATCTGCTTACATTGTTTTGTGCTACTTGCTACTGTGGACCCAGTTTTCGACTGGCATTTGACCTCATAGACCCTCATAAGATGCAGAAACAAATTCAAAAGTGATTTAGAATGTTATTAAAATGTATATAACACTGAAGGATGAGATCTTCTTTTTGACTTATGAAAATTTCATTAAATGGTTATCTGCATCTTTAAATACCCAAGTATCTTTGGAAATCAGATACTTATATTTCTGCATTGCAGTTCCACTTTCTTAAAATTAAGATAAATAATAATAGTTTGACAGCATCTGATGAGGATAAACATTAAAAATTGTGCGCTTTTCAAATCATGGAATAAGAGGGTTGAATCAATCTGTAACATAGATTGCTTTCATATCACAGATCAAGGTTAAACAAAGGCTAAAGCTCTGCATGCATGATTTGCAAATGCAGTTATGCTAATACCATGATGATCTTAATTAGATGATCAGCTGCATATCTGACTTTTGATAATAAGTCCTAATGTGACTTGCTAATCAATGTCAGATATGGGAATAGAATGTAGAATTTCTGACTTGTGAATCCATGCGCTAATTGCTAAATCAGACTGCCTCACTAATGTCATCTTTCATTTCAAAATGTTCTATCTCCTGCTTATACTCATAGTGTAGATCGACAGACTGTTAAGATGAAAAGAAACCACTACAATCATATTATCCAACTTCTAAATAACAAGAACTAAAGAATTTCCTGTTATTTCATATTGGGAAACTATTATTTTTTCCTTTTGCCATAAATAAACATTATCAGGCTTAACTTTTGACTGGGCTACAGAACATTACCCTCAAAGACATCTAATTTTGATTTCAAGATTCCAAATGACAATGAAATTGTCACTTTCCATGAAAAGAAATGTCAGTTATGAGCTGTCCTCAACATAGGGAAATGCTCAAAAATAAGGTCATATTCATCCTGGTTTTGAAAGTTGCATTTAATTACCAGTTTAAATGCTTCTGACTTCTGCTTTCAGCCACAATAATATCTTGTTATGCCTTTAGCTGCTAGATTAAATATTCCTATACCTCAGACCATAGATTGCTGTATAAAGGAATTTATGTAAGAAAATTAACTGCTTTAATCGCATTGCTTAACTTATTGTGAGAAGTAGTTCGGATAACTAAGAAAATAATAGAATTATTTTTCCTTCCAGTGTTTTAGTTTTCTTTTTAATTTTGTAATATTACAGACAAATCCTAAAAAGGAACTACTGCAAAGATGGATTTTTAAAGTGAAATTGAAAGATTTGCATGGGTTGATTCTTCTTTCCAATGGACAATCCCTGTATTTTATACCTGAACAGGAGGGAAAGAAAGGAAAGAAACCATATTTCCTCTTGAAACGAAAGTGCATGGTTCTCAGCTGTTTCTTTGGATTTTGTCAACATA